GCTGTCCTTAATGCCAAGTGTCGAAGCAGGAGATAGATACACTTGCTCTTCTGGGAAGCACACGACCTGTGTGCAGTACAGGTGAAGAAAGCTGTCCTTAATGCCAAGTGTAGAAGCAGGAGATACACTTGCTCTTCTGCGAAATGATTTGCTCAGACTCACTTCAGGGCAAGTTGTCACAAACAAAATTACATGGACTTGGTATTTCTGAGGGCGGTAGTTTTCTTTCGAATTAGTAAAACGAAGGGGGAGATGTTATTCTGAGACTGCCTAAAGGGGCTTCTTTTGGCCTATAACAGACTGCTCTGCTCTCATGGGCGTTTAATGGAGTAATGCTTGGTTCAGCACTTACCTTAGCACTCATCAATTGAGAAATGCTGTAAATACAGCCTAACAAACAAAGCTCACCAATATCTCCAAGCTGGAACAAATTTCCTAAGCAGCTCCCAGAAATACTGATTTTCTTTCAGCCACTGTCAAGAGTTGTATAAATTCTTCCATATAGTGCAACTGAAGCTAAAATACAAGTCTAAATTTATTTTCAGAGTTTACAGATCTTCTTTATTTTTTAAAATTATAGAGCAGCTCATAAGATAATGTATGACACAGAATAATGAAGGGCTTTTTTCCTTTTTTTTTTCTTTTTTGGCTTGTTTAATTGTTTTTTGTTTAATTACAAGTGTTTCTGGACTTTCAGGCCATCAATTCTAGTATTCTGCATGGCCAGGCTATGGGTTTCCATTCCGTTACCATCTCATGGTCTCAGTATCATGAGTCTGAAAAAAACTAAGATTTTAAACCTCCCTGTCTCCTTGTCTTTTGGCAGTACAGTGCTCAAATTACCTGATGTCATCTGTATTTTATATATGGTAACAGGCCACTGTGCATCATTTCTAACTTGAACATGGCTGGAAGCCTTTGACTTTCCTCATCAGCCACCTGGAGTGTTTGTGTCAGTACGAATTTGTGTTTAAGAGGTAATCTAATTTTTTTGTTTCACATAGCTAGCCAGAGTGAGCTTATAAATTTTTTTATGATTGAAAGCGAGAATTCCCAGATTAACGCATTTTAAAAAGAAATAAGGAAAGATGGACCATTTTGATATGATTTGCACTCTTTTCTACAAGCATCTTTTAAGTTGTTTGTCTTTTGGGACGGCAAAAAAAATATCTAATATGGTAACTGAAATAAACAGCTGCCCACTTCTCTTCCAAATCAAAGCTTACAAAGACTAAATGAGTAGCTAAATGAGTAGCTGTCAAGTGTCCTGTGTTTTTATTTTTTTCTGTCCTGCAAACGCAGTGTCTCCCTGAAGTAGACTCAGTAGCAATTCACCGTGTTTGACCTTAAAGCTCTGCTCACCCTTCCCGGCGCTCGCCCGTGTCCTCTTGGGTTCTCTCACTTGGGCTGCTTTCACGGGCTCTTGCAGCGGGAATTTCAGCTCATTTGCAGACTGAGAGAAGAACCAACCCCGTTAGTCAGTAGCAGCAGGGTATGCCGTGGCTGGCACACCTCCTTTCATCCTTTCTCTGTCTCCAGTAGCTCAACCAGATTCTCCTTTCTAAAATTTTCCAAAGGGAACTGGACATTTTGAACAGGGGGAAGGGAGAGGTTTTTTTTTTTCCTGAAATCCCCATTAACACACACTTTCTAGATGAGACGTGGGCCTAATCCCAGCGCACTCTTTTTGCGTTAAGTAGTATCACACGAGTGAAAATAAACCAGCAGAAATGACACCTTGAGTGTCTTTGCAATGCTAATGACAATCGGGTGGCAATTCTTAACCTAGAAATTGGGAAGACAGAGGACTTCTTCCTGCTAAAGAACGATACAGAAGGAGTTTCTGATTCTTCTGGAGGCTCTATGCCTCACATTAAGCACCTGCTGATTGTCTTGTTGTACTTGTTAAAGCGAAATCCCTGCTAGCTACTCTCTCCAGCTGAGTTAATAATTAGCTTGGGAAGTCATGAGCTTTTGTTAATGAGACTCAATATTGTACTTTTAATTCAGGAAAGTGTTTCACACAATTGCATTCATACTCTGAAAAAATTCAACAGCTAATCCTTCTTCAGTTAAGTGTCATATCTCATCTGTAGGAGTGGCTGGGGCAAGGCAGAAGTATTTATGTCTCCAGGGCTGAGGCTTTCTGGACACCCAGTATGTTTTAGCTGATATCTTGGCAGGAAAGATGCCTCTGTACCTTCTCCATGGTTAGAAAAACAAGAAATTTCCACATTTACCATTCCTACTTCTATATGTTAACAGCTGATGTTGATCTTAGTTTTCACAATAAAGGTCCACTGCTATGAAAATCTCATCACAGTTGACCTGTGGAATTCAACATAGATATGAATATGAAAAAGTATCCCTTAGTCCTGATCTCCTGCAAAGACATTTCATAAGGTCTACGGAGCAACCCAACTGAATCGCATGGAAGAGATGGAAATGGCCTTAGTTGGGTTTGAAAGTTCTGTCATTACAGAGAAATTGCTGGGCCCTGAAGAAGGAGAAAGCTTTGTGTGTGTGTATTTTTTTTCTCTCCAAAAATATATATCTAATGTATTGCATACTTATGCAAAACAGATTTAAAATATTTTGTTTTAAAAGTTAATGTAAGTTGGAGGGAGTTTCAGGATATCTTGCCCATGCTGTTTCAGACAGCTGAAGGGAGCTGTGAAGGAATGTGTGAATATTATTACTCCAGCAGTGAAATTTCCAGATAAACAATACTGATCACCATATTGGCTGCAATGGTTTAATAAAGTCATAAATATCAAAATACAAAAATATGGATGGAAATGGTACCTGAAGCACAGTGCTTCCCCTCCAGGGGTGTAAAGTTTTAGGCTGCGTGTGGCTGGCTGACATGGAGACTTTGGCGTCCTCTCCCCTGACAAGTTGATGGTTCGTGCTACAACAATCACTGCTTCCCATTATCTGTTGGAAAACAGTGTCTGTTCAACTCTTCTGTTATCAAATGGGTTTCCCCCAAATTTGGGCTCACACAAATAAACAAATATGTGTTTGCTGCCGCAACAGCGCTTAGCTCATGAGTTCCCCACGAGCCTGACAGAACACGGGACTGTGCGTTGGGCAGGGAGCAGGGCGCCCGCCTCCACAAGCAGCCTCAGGCTTCTCATCAGTCACTTGACTATTTATATCCCCGTTTTTTGTTTTTTTTTCAGATAATTTATTATTATTGCTATTATTTGTGGGATTTTTCTTCACTTTTTTTTTTTTTTTGGTAGATCACTGCTAAAAGCCTGAGGGAAGTGTCTTTTCTTAGAAGTTGAGTCATACTGTATTTACCAGATACCAGTTTTCTCTCTGTGCATTAATATTAACCCCCCAAAAAAGCGTTCTGCTGGTATTTTTGACCATCATTTAAAGGAGTTTGTCATGTTTGGTTTCTGTGCACTGCCGGCTTTCAGCACTACCTGCCAGCCGGAATTATTTCAGCTGCAGTGTCAGCAGAGGTGCCAGAAGTCGGGTTTTTCTTTGCTAACCTGTGCCCTTGTTGAAGGCTCGGCCAGTTTGGCAGTGACAGGACAAAGAGGTGCCCAAATCCCTGTCACGAGGTGCCATCCCGGTGGGGACTCACTGGCAACCAGTTGACACCTTCAGGAGGAAGAGGCCCAAGGCTGATACCCGTCACTGGGACAAGAGGCTCCGCTCTCTGCTGGAGTTATGGGCCGATTTGGGCAATTTTACATTGCATGTACAGCAGTTTTAAATGGTGTAAGGCTCTAAGGCCTAATGGTGTAAGGCTCTAACGTCCTGCCCTTCCCACTGTATCCATTTTTAAGTACAGTTAGGAACAAGAAAGGGAAAAAGGCTCTCACTGTTCTCTTGAAAAATGGTGGGCTGGGGATTTTTTGTTGTTGCTGTTTTTGTTTTTGATCTGGCAAGGGAGAGGGATCCCAGGAAATTTTAGGTTTTCCTGGGCTTGTACCTCAGGATTGGAGGCTTTGTAAGGAAACGCAGAAACAGTTTAGGAGAAATAAAGCACTGGGCAGGTTACCAGCAAAGCAATCAACATGTGATGGCCAGCACGAGCCAGGCAAGTGTCTTGGCTCAGCATCATCAAAAATTGCTACTGGGGGAGTTGGCATGTTGGCTGGGAGTGAAGTTGGAGCTTCTTTCCTGCAAACAAAAGTAATTTGCTGCTCTATTTCTCTTTGTTTAAAAAATACTGTGGAGGGATTGAATGAGAAGCTTGAAACATATTGATTGTGATTTGGAAGGGCTATTTTTGAACCTCTTGAGTGCTTGTTGATCTTGGATTATCTCATTTCCAAAGTACTTCAAAATGAAAATTATCAGTAATTCTGTTTAAGTCTCAGCTAAATCAATAATGAACTTTTGTCTCTAGGATTTTATTTGTTATATATTTCTATCAATCCAATGTACTCTTTAAATACTGCAGCAGAAATTTTTACTGCTTACCTCCCTGTGGCCCTTGCAATCGTATAAAGCAGGTTTGGGATTAATGAGCTGTCAAAGTCTGTGTAATGAATGAAAAAAAATGACAGAAATCCTTTCATTGTTTAAGAAATTCCAAGTAGTTAATGGAAAAAAATGGCATTCTTTTACAATATGAGAAAAAGTAATTCTTTCAGAAACAGCATATGACTGAAGAAACTTTCAAAAAAGCAAGGATTCTGCCCGATGGGTCAATTCCAGTTCATTCCTTTGAATTAATATATTACAAAACTGTATGAGCTAATGGGATTTTATGCTTTGAGAAATAGGTTTCTATTCCACAGGTTGCGGGTTCGAAGTTCATCCTGAAAGCAATGTGTCTTCCCAATTTCCATTTGCTGTTGTGAGCATATTTAGGTTATGTCATGGCTATAAGTAATTATAACTTAGGTAGAAAACTTTGCAATGCACAGATCAACTTTGGGGTGGGAAGGGTGTTTCCTTACATGTTGTTCTGCTGCCTTAGGAAATTCCATTTGTCTGTGTGGAATAATTGCTCTATTGCTGTTGTTTTCCAGGTAACTGTCTCAGATGGGGGCACATCTCCCAAGCAGTCCTCAGTCTGGGTGGTGGTCCAGGTTCTGGATGAGAATGACAACAAGCCTCAGTTTCCAGAGAAAGTCTATCAGATCAAGTTGCCAGAGAGAGATCGTAAGAAAAGAGGGGAGCCAATTTACAGAGCTTTTGCTTTCGACAAAGATGAAGGCCCTAACGCAGAAATCTCATACAGCATCGTGGATGGAAATGATGATGGCAAATTTTTTATTGATCCCAAAACTGGGATGGTTTCTTCCAGAAAGCAATTCACAGCAGGGAGTTATGATATCTTAACAGTAAGTGATCTTTCATCAACATACAAACACATTACTTGAATTTTTTTTTTTTACAAAAAACTTACCTCGCTGTATAGGTGTATAAAGACATGTCTGTGTTTAATATATCACTGCATGTAAGATCTGAATGTGCTACAAAATCTAGCATTCACTGATATCTATAGCTAAAAATTGATTCTGCTTGGGATTTCATGCCACTGCACATAATGAATTATTCTCAGGTGTTTAGAGAGCCAACTTGTGAATTGTTGGCATCTCCTTGCATGCACAGAAATGAAGACCAAGGGTTTGCTTGCTCCCAAATTTTATATCATATTTAGCTAGACGGGTACAGCAACAAATTCACATTCACCTTTTTATGGATATAAGTGTGGATACAGCCCACACTTATTCTGTCCAAGTTAACAGTCTTCAGGGAGGAGGAGTTCTGTATGGGGAATATATGCCCTTCTACAGCATCAAAGGGTTTAAGTAAGTTTAAAAAAATCAAAATACTTCTGCCAGAACTCAAACCATTCAGACGAGGTCAAAGAAAGAAAGAAAGGAGAAAAGATGGTGGTTTTAACAAAAGGAAATATAGGACTTGAATTTGCACTCTTCATATACAGAAATAAGCCAAAAAGAGTGTTGGTTAAGGAGTTAACAGGAAATACAGGAGATGAAAATGTAACAGAGTTCCAGGGTCTGGAACAGTCACTTAGTAAATGAAGAGATGTCATCTACAGAAATGGATCTCTGCTGGAATACCTTCGTAAGGCTGGAAATGGTGACAGGAAAACAGAAGAGCAGATGTCAGAATGCGCAGGGAGAGCTGGCACTGCGAGCACAGCCCTCCCGGGGCGAGGGCCCTTCGCTGCGCAGGGCCACGGCTCACCCCTGCTCTCACCCTCACGGGACTCCAGCAGCTGAAGGCTTCCTGCCTCAAAGCTGCTCCTCGCACACTCGGCATCTTTTGCCTAAGGGCCCGTCTGCCTTGAATGGAGCAGGGGAGCAAGTGTTAGCACTAAACCCACTTAACACATTGCCAGAGAAAGAAATATATATGATATTTCAGGAAAATAATTCCCTTTTTTAACAGGCATAGTAACAGCATTTCCATACATCCGTGATCCTGTATAGTCAGGAAAATTTCCTTTAGTGTTTAAAGGAAAATCTTCTGTTCTCCTAGATGTTGGTGTTATTCACCAAGGTACCATTCCATAACCTACATTTTCCCTTATCCTGAATTGTTTTTGAATATTCATCTTGTCTTTTCTATGCTAAAACCATGTAGCATTCCAGGCAAAAATAAAGTCTACCCATGTCTTCACAGTACATTGCAATATAAAGAATTAGCACCAAGCTGGGCAACTCTAATGAACACCGCTGAGAAGAGAAAACAATGAAAAGAAACATGGTGAAATTGAAAATTATATTTGTTTTGGAAAATGGGGGAAATGATCTGAAACATTCAACCCAATTAAAGATTGTGAAGATGGTAATATGAGGAATACCAATACAATTGGTATTGTGCAATACAAATAACATTTAAAACAGTCAAACATGGTCTGGATGGGCATATATCTTAAATACATGACATCCCAGAGGTAGAGGGTGTAGAGCATCGTAGAGCTCCCAGCATGGGAGCATCGGAGACTCTTTGAAAGGTGTAGTCTAAGAGGGAAGTCTTTTCTGAAGAAGCAGGTGTATGTACGAAGCACTTGAATTGCATCTCTTAGGGCCTCACATCAGCATTTCTAAATCAAAATAGTTTTGTCTGGTGTGATTCTCATCCTACTTTTTAGGGCGTATTTTGCATAAAGGATTAGAGAGGCCATTTTCCAAACATTTTCCATTTTTATTGTTTTCTTGAACATAGGTCTAAATGACAAACTGTTGTGCCCAGTCTGAGTCCTGTTTCCTTTGTGCCCCCAGATAAAAGCAGTAGACAACGGCCGACCCCAGAAATCCTCAACCGCGCGTCTCCACATTGAGTGGATCAAAAAGCCGGCGCCCTCGCCGGTGCCCCTGACTTTCGATGAACCCTTTTACAACTTCACCATCATGGAGAGTGATAAAGTGACAGAAATCGTTGGGGTGGTCTCTGTGGAACCTTCTAACATTCCTCTGTGGTTCGATATAGTCGGTAAGTTTGGAACCAGGAACGTAGAGAAGAAGCTTCAGAAGCAAAACATAAGGATGTGTGGTTTTGGAAGCAAGAAAACTAACAGTCAGCTGTCCCTGAATTAAAAGCATTTTTGTAATGCTCAAAAGGCTATTTTAATACAGCAATAATAAAAGTAATATTCCTGCTTTTGTTATGATTCCTTAGCTAAGCTGAAAAAAAAAAGCGCTGTATGGCTGAATTGTTTTTTTTCATAGTATGTTATTTATTGCAATCTTAATGTTGTCTGTCATTTAAATTCTATTGTCATACTTGGCTAATCTCATTCCTAAATGTATTTATGGTACTTAGACTTGCTGTCCCTCATTTCTCTCTTTCTTCACCTTTTTTTCTGCATTCTGTTCTTTTTTTTCTGCTTCCGACTGCCCTGCTTCAAGGTGGCAAGCATGCTCGAGAGATGTTCTATATTCTACAGACAGCTTGTGGGCAGAACTGTTCAACAGAAGGTACCCTTAGTGCAAACACATTTGCTAAACTACAACTATCCAGGCTGCCTTTTATTTTTGCAAGTTCTTTGAGACAATTTATATTACATCTTCATAAGTGCCTGTGACAGGATGCAATGCAACACATGGATGTGCTACGTTTCTTTCTGTGACAGCTTTTAGCATATTTGTGTCCAATTATTATCATTTTATTCACGGATTTTCCACAGTTTATCGCAAATAATTAATTCAAACTTTTCACAGTCCAGCTCCATCCATTTAAATGTGAAACAGAACGGAATGCATCAACATATGGGTTACAAACAGAGCCACAAAAGTTCATCTTGAATGCAAACTGAAAAAGAGAAATGTGTTCCTATGTGAGATTTCAACCACAAAAATGCCTTACATATAATTACTTTTGAAAATAGGGAGGGAGAAGTCCATATACTTAGAGGAGGAGAAGCCACAGGAGTTACAGTGTTAAAGTCAAAGAGCAAGGAAGTTAAGGATGTAGCTGCTGGAAGGACAGCAAGTAGAGGGGATCACTTGCCTACAGTGGAGAAGCAGGAATCAGTATTCCTAAGTGATGCTTTCCTGCTTCTGTTGCTGATGCAGTTAGGTCACTTAAAATAACTCTTTAACATCTCCAAAATGAGACTTTTCCCAACATTACAATGAGTTATTATGCTGCTTAGGGTTTGTAGGCAATGTTTGTGTATCTTCGGATGTAAAACACTGTGTCTGCACAACGTGGTGTTATTTAAATAATGGGTTATAAAACAAATATTATATGAAAGATTAAAGAAACAAAAAACCATTGCCACAGACTTAGTGAAAAGGGTGCATCAGCAGTCTTTATTTACAGGGACTGAGCTCTGCTTCCATTTGATCATGGCTGTTTCCAGATGAGTTTACCCAACAGGAAGGAGAAGGACCATGGAATGGGTCAGCCACAGTTATTTTCACCCACCTTTTATTATCAATTTGTGCAGATGAAAGATAGAAGCATCTATGTTTCCCCTTTGAATTTGTAGCACGGGTTCTGAAATGCCAACCACATTAAAACTTAACGCAAAGCTATTACCATGTTCAGGGGTTCTTGCTCACCCCTGAGGAAAAACAGCATATGTTTCCTACTATCTTCCTTTCCATTTCCATGATCTTTTCAGTATGCTACATGCAATTTATTAGCTAATGTTTACATTCCCTTTGTCTTGCTCACTGACCCCAACTTTTCTCCCAGGAGAAATCCTACTTTATTGACTTTATTGTCACACTTTTTTTCCCCCCATTTGAACCTTTTGCTGGACTCCTCTGCCCCTCACAACCTCTCAGTCTATTCCTTAGTGAATTCACCAACTCTCATTAAAATGCTCTGTGATAACAACTGAGAGAGGCCCCAGCTCTTAAGCTCTGTTCTTTAACAATATAAGAATCATCTGCAATCTAGCAACACCTTATCATAATATTGCAGGTTTGTGTCCTGAACAGAAATGCTGGAGAGAAGATGATAAAATTTTAAGTCCTTAATTTGTCACTTCATGTGGCCTTTATGGCTAAAGGAGGATCTAGAAGGCGGTTTTTATTTTTTAGAAATCCTAATAGCTTCCCTGTAGGATGTAGCTCCTGATGCTGCAGGGTGCTGAATCACTGCAGAAGGTCATGGAGATATTGTTTCCCTGGACTTAATGAGAAATCTGGGTCCCTGGAAGGTGTCAGAACATTGTAGGTTCATGGGTGGTGACCCTGACTATCCAATTTGATACCATTACCATATGAGTGCTGTCATTAAATATAATTGCTTTTATCAAAAACAGCAATAATAGCAATCCCCATTTCTGTAATAGGAATAGCTGGCAATCCCAGCTATACACACAACATTGCTGTTCTAGGCACTCTGCACACACAATTGCAAGATAAAATTGCCAGAAGCAGCTTATAGTCAGGGTATTTTCTGCTGAGAATATCTTTGCTGCCTTTGGTTGGTCAGTATCAAAAATTCTTTTTTGTCTAGATTTCTCAGTATCATCATCTGGAAAAAGAGGCAGTGATGATAATGTGTTGGAGGAACATTGATATTTAGTGCTGAGAAGCACAATGAAAGACTTAGGATGTTAGTAGTAGTTAGTTGTAGGTTATACGGGAGTGTTGATGCAACAGATACATTCTGTCTTGCTGTAAGAGCTGGTCCTGATCCATCTGCTATTTTGTGGTTTTGGACCTCCGTGTACAGCTCCCGGTAATGTCAACAAAAGCCCCGAAGGCTTATGTAGAAGCATGGTTTAATATAGAGTTTGCAGCTTGACCTTTATTTTTATGACCTTTTCAAACTAAATGGGCAGTGGAATTCAAAGGGACCCTTTTTTCTATAATATGACCTTTCTCCCACCTCAACATGGGGTAGAAGGGGGACTAAAGTTAGGATATGTAGGATTTTGTCTATCTAATTTCAACATCTAATTGGCATCTAGGTTAAATGCACCCTAAAGAAAGCTTTGTGTTCTTGAGCTAATCAGCTCCAAGACAGGAAGGTGCCTTTGGGGCCACAGATCAGGTCTTCCTGGGCCAATTGCCTTCCTTTAGAGACAACGTCTTTCCTCCATAGATGAGAGGGGGACAGGATGTTTGCTGTTTTGTGCAGTTGAGAATGGTTGAGATGTCCTACCTGGTTTCTCTTTTCAGAATGCATTCAATGTCCTCCTCAGTTCACGCAGATCTCACAATGTGACAGACACAGGTTGTTGCAATTGTGTTAAATTTATTCAGTCATTTATGAGGAGCTAATTTTCAGTGGAAGCTCCAAAATAAGTCAGAGATCTTTATTTTTCCCAGGGAAATTGAGCCCCATAGGACTCTTTCTTCCTTTGTGTCAGGGGTGGGAATGATGAGATAATTATGTTGACCACAGAAGCTAAGCTGCATGGTGCTAGTTTTGCTTAAGTAGCATGTTGCACAACACCTTTCTCATTCTCCAAACTGGCCACCTGCTGTCTTTATTTCTTCCCCCAACCTACACCATTAAAAGCACAGATAAAGTTTAAAAGTACATCAGAACTTTTCTGTCAAGGGTGCTATAAATGGCAATGATTTTAAGATCTATTAATTGTCCATATAATTCACAGTACTGCGAATTTTCATTAATGTCAAAAACAGGTAGCTCCCTAGCCTCCTTTGAATTATCCTCTCTGAGAACTAGATAAAATAGCTTCTAATTTTTTTCTTTCTTTTTTTTTGCCTGTACCTTCAGCTTCTTAGCAGCAAACCCAAGGCTTTGCCTGTCCTTATAAGAGTTTTATCCTTTCGCAAATTCCAAGTCTGTAGTATTTTCTTCTTCCTAGCATGATAACAGAATATATCTTTGCATGTTGTGTTACTAATATTTATTATGTTATGTTTAACAGAATTCTGTAATTTAATCCATATTTCTCGAGACAGTGTTTAGGTTTATTTCGTATCTTGCAAAACAGAACAATGGGAGATTTGAGTTTTGCTTCTTTTCTTAAAAATACTAGAGTGATTTTGGATTCATTCTTGAAGCTCAGGGTCAGTTCCCTTTCTGTATTTCCACATGATTCTCTGCTTTGGGTAATGCTAGTAATGCAGCAAATGCCGCAATTGCTCCAGTTACAGTCATTATCTTCAGTTTTGTTAGTTTAGTTTGCGGGGGGAAAAATGTCAAAATCCCTCCATTCCTAAGCAAATGTATTCAGTACTAGTCTTTAAATTAAATCATCTACTGTATTTCTCTACTCCATCTTGGCACAGGAGGCCAAATGAGACAAGTTCTCACTGCATCCTGTCTTTCTTAAGTTTGAACATAAGCACATATGCTCTTTGCTATCTGCCAGAGAAGGAAGAGCTTTCCCAAGTTTTTGCCATGTTTGATTTGGGGATATCCTCCAGAATTCAGTAGGATCTGTTTTGGTGTAGGTCTGGTCCTGCACAGTCGTCAAACATTTCTCAGATCTATATTCAAGCCCACATTGCTGCATCATTCCAGTGGAAAAGAGAGGAAAAAGGTGCTCACATGGATAATTAGACTTATTTGCCTACCAGTCCTCCAGGTTTGCTGGCATGTTTTCTTCTTAGGGAGCGAGTGATTTCATCCAGCAACATAATCCTGTGTTGAAATACATATGAACTGTTGATAGGAAACATAAATAGGCTCAGCATCTTCCCAAAAAGGAATTCCACCTAAGAAATGTACCACAACAGGAAGAAAAAGAGATTTTTTTGCTTGCAGCAAATAATAATTCAAAATGGGAAGAGAACATGCTTGAAAGTAAATTTTTTTTCTGGAATTCAAAAGGGTGACAGCTCTATATGCATTGTATCCCGCTGTAGGCAAATTCTTCTATTGACCTCTGAAAATTAATTTTAGCAGCTCAGGAAGTTTTACTGGCTCATCCGTTGCACCGAATATAATATAACCTTACATAGGAAGTTCTAGAACATCATTTGCATCTGTTCTAAAATAGACCTTTACTAAAAGCACCCATACCCAAAACAGGAGCCTTCCTGAATTCAATAACATAGCTGGAATTGGCCAGAGTTATTTTAGAAAATAAGTTATAAATCCTTTAGAGAGTATAAAAAAACTCAATTGTGTAAATTTACTTCTTCCTGAGTTTATGGAAGATATATAGCAGCTTCCAGAAACTAAGAGTGGAAATCATCTCGCTTAACTTTATTTGTCTGAGGTGCAGTTACGGATATCTAAGGTAGCTGTCTTTCTTTAGGAGTCCTAACTGTCAATTAAAGAAAAAATACACTTTCTGGTTGGAATTTATGTCATTCAAACATGAGATTTCTTCTTCTCCAAAGATGGCATTGCAAGTAGGTTTGAATTGTTCATGAAATCCCACTCTTAGTATTTTGGCTTATTTCAAAGGAAGTCTTTAATCTTGACTGAGGATGCACCAGTCCTGCTTCTCAACCTGCAGTGATGCGACAAACCAGAGCCAATCCAGGTTTCTCTTAAGTCATTCCATGTTAGAAAGGTTTCTCAGGACAGCCTGCCTAGTCAGTTTACTCAACGTGCCTTCTTTATCATTGATTTTCTCAGAGTCCAGTGTCACCATGTCTTATCTTCGTATGAAATATTTCTTTTCTAATGCAATTGCAAGCACATTAATAAAGACAGCTTCTAGATATCTTGTATCTGAAAGCAGGAGTTTTACTAGACAATGAAAAGGAAAGCACGTGCCATATGCTGGAAAATGGAAAAAGTAATAAAAATTCACATTAATAAAACTGAGCAGATGAAAAAAATGCCATCATTCTTAGCCCCCTTTCATCCTAAGATTATGATCACTGAAAGTGCTAAGTATCTTATAGTAACTCAGTGAAAATGATATTACTGAAGCCTACAACACTGCAAATAAATTAGTTTCCAAAGGATTTCAAGTTCCACAGCAGCATGTTTTTGAAAACTGGCCTCAAGTGCCCAAAAATCTGTGAAGCTGCCACCCCCTCAGCTCTCACCTCCTCCAGGCTGAGTCCTCAGTCCTCTATGTAGGCATCCTTCCAAGGAAGCTGCTTCAAGTGGTGTTCCCAGAATAATTTGAACTGCACAAGTTTTTAAAAGAAAAATTCTCTTTGTTTTTCGACATGACTTTGTTCTCTTCCTCTCTGCATACTGCCTCCAGCATCCATCTTTCCCAGAAATTCTATTGGATACTTCTCTGGGAGCTTTGCAGTAGGCCATGCATATATTTAACACATCTATGGAGTCAGTTACAACTTAGAGTTTATCCCTAGTTCAGTAATTATGCCTCAGTGCTAAGTGTAATTTCAGAAGCGCTCGTCATGTGAGTTGTTTGGAGGACATCCAGAGCATTCCCAAACTACCTCCACTACTCACAAGATCGGGGCAGAACCCAGATATCACAGGCAGGATGACAAGTTAGTCCCAGGAGCTGAACTGCTGGCTGTGCTCTGTTGAAACGACCGGACTGAATCAAAAGTAAATGAGGACTGCTCTCCAAAGGAGACTATGAGCTCAAATCTCACAGCAAGATGCTCTCTGACAAGGCATGGTCTCTGAAATGGATGCAGTTTCTGCATTGTTTAGAAGAAAATGAATTGATGTGAAATAAAGTGCATTACAAGTTTAGGCTAGAGAGGGGTGGTTGGTGATCAAGATTTATTCTTTTTTTGTCAGCAGATTATTTTGGAAGATACATGTATCATATGAAAACTCAAAGGTTGGATTAAATTCCTGTTTTGAAGGAAGAATATCCAACATTTAATGAAATTTGCCTCAAGTGGGTATACTTGCAGCACACCATTTAATGCCCCGACAGCACTGCACTAAGCTAACTGGGGAAAGACATTTAAAATATCTATTTTTAATTCTCCCATTATTTTACTTCTTGGAAGTTTAAAAGACAGGGTTTCTGTGGAAGTGTATGCCAATTGATAGCATGCAATTTTTTGATTGCTCATTAAGATGGTTATTAAGCATCTTGAAGTGCAGCCTTTCATTCTGTTTCTCATGGTTATCAGTCTGAAACATTCTCTTTGTGCAGTGCACACTGTCCCAAGGCTAGCTGCATTTCAGCAGAAATTTCCTTCAGGAATCCTGAAACTCCTTTCTTCAAAGGAGGGTTTTTCTGAGTTGATTTTCATGGTGCAGTTTTTCTCCAGTAAATCCATTAAAACATTAACTGGGAGATGGCATCTTTCCCTTCTACACTAACTTAAAAAAAAAATCTGAGCGTATGACCATGCTATATACCTTGGCATTACTTCAATGTCAAGGACAATTGAGGGTTTTTTTTGGCAACCAAGTAGTGTTAAATATGTAACAATGAGAACGATATGCAGGTTAGGTTTGCAGAAGATGGTTTGGGAAGAATCAGTGTTTCTATCCACCATCCATCACAGCAGATTCCTGGGCAGTGTTTTGCTAGAGAACCACAGCTGCATCAGTGGGGCTCAGAGCCATATATACATATATATTTATTCAGTGCTTCTTTTGGATCCCTTAACAAGCACAGGGAGTTCACCAGTTCTGCCATTCCTTTGCATAGGTCACCTGGATCCTTACTCCTCCTTCCTCTTTCTTCTCCTCCTCTATCCAAAGTTTGGAATGACAAACCTTTTTTCTTCTAACTAAATACATGGCTGCTTATAAGAGAAATTCCAGTTGTTGGTCAGCATCAAGGTACAAGAATTGGTGGTAGAAACGGGCCCCTCCATTTCTCTGCCCCCGCGCCTGATGTGAGAGCCATCTGGGGATAATACAGCAGCCATTCAAGAAAATTATTGCCCTAGAACTAAGTTGATGGAATGGATATTTTTCTACCTGTGGATCTAATCCCCAAAGGCCGGAGCAGCTCCTATAAAAGTTTCATTAGCAGTGGGGGCTGAAAGCATTTTTCACTTTGCAGGCCTGGGTCATCAGAGAATGTAGCTAGCGGAATTGTTTTGCCGTGTAATTAATACACCTTAAGAGGTCTTTTGTCAGCAGTGCTGTGTTCCCCCTGTGCTGTCCCCAGCGCCCAAACATTGCAGGCTGAACTCATAATAAATTCCACTTTAGAGCTGAGTGAGTAGAAGCAGCTTAGCAGCAGGGAGTGTGTGTTTTACTTCTGAACATAATGAGTGGTTCTAATTTATAAACTAGAGCTATGGCTGAGAAATCCTGTAACCCTTTAATCTCAAATTATTTATGGCTTTCTCTCACATTTTAATAGATTTTTTTTTCTTTATCCTTTTTCTTTTACCTGAGACTCAAGAGGATTTTTTTTCTTTGCTGTATCATTCAGTATGTGACAGAATAAGGAGGTATTAGTTTCAGAATAGTGCTTTGTGAGGAGTTTTTTAATGGAAAGGAATTTATGAAGTGTATCCTGTCAGATCTATTTAAATAATTCCTAAAAGACTAGTAGAATTTGACCTTTGCTGTCAGTAATTATCATTGTCCTTGAAATTAACATAACAAATCGCTATTTGCATTTTTAAAATTGATTATAATTGTCATTTTTAAAGACTCAGTTGACAGTCTTTGCACCCATGAGCATTGGTGAGGATTTCCTGAAAATAGAATTTGCAGAATCAAACCATCTTAAAATGATTTTTATGCAAAGAGATAATTGTGCTTGTTCGTTACACAAACTACAAGGGCACACATCTTAAGGGCTTATAGCCATTTGCTTCTTTTTATAGATTCAGTTATGGTTCACTTAAATATACTGCTGGATTTTTTTTTTCAGTGCATTTTAATGATATCTGCTTTCTGATATACAAATTGTGCTTTGAAATATAAATGAGTTGCAAACAAAGACGTATCAGTAGCTATACTGTGTATGCATAAGGCAGGCCATTAAGATGGATGCCAGTAAACAGCTATGCCCACTTTGAGATACGTTTTGGATGGAAATTTTCCAGAGATGGCTAATTTAATTGTATTTTTGTGCAACAATTAGGAGGGAATTACGATAGTTCTTTCGACGCGGAGAAGGGAGTGGGCACTATTGTCATTGCAAAGCCCCTGGATGCAGAGCAGAGGTCAATATATAATATGACTGTGGAGGTCACCGATGGAACAAACATTGCCACGACTCAGGTAGAATATCACATTCCTTCTTTGGCAAGTTTTTCATTTGTTAGTGGAATGTATATGCTATAAAAATAATAATTTTGCCGTTCAAATCAAACCTCAACTTTTGAGAACACTGTTAACTGGTACAGGGGCTATTTTGCAGCCCTTTCCATCTGTTTGTGAAGACTTGGCTGCTGAAAGTGTTTCAAAGTGGTGTTTCTTCTTTTCTCCTCTTCTTGCTCACACCAGAGTAACTCTCCTTGCTCCAGCTGTGGTAGGCCCTACCACAGGCAGCTTATGTTTCCACAATTGTATTGCCCAGTAACGGTCCAAAACACAATAGTGATTCCGTGGTGTTGGGGAATATTACTGTTGATTTTATTAAATGGAATTTATACCGCCCATCCTCCCAGGACCCGAATGTGGGACACGAGACCAATTGTTCAGAGAGGAAATTGCTCAGAGCGGAAACTTAAAATTCAAAGGATCTCTCCTTGAGTGTCACCACAATGGTTACGTTGTCTATAGGGGACACCCCGGCGAAGCCTGGCAAGCCAGGCAGGGTCAGTGACTTGGAGCAATTAAAAAGTCAGGTCAAATAAATGTGACGAGACGGCATTATGCTGGCTGTGACACATCCTTGTCGCAGAGCTCCTCACAGAGAGCCTGCCTTTGCCTTGTGTAGGTCACGTCTGCAGGAGAAGATTGGCAAAAATTGCTTGTTTTGCCCCAGTCTGGAGGCGGAACGTGCTCAGGGTGTGTGCGCAGGGCCAGGAGCTCAGCAGGCCATGTGGCACGGGGAGACTCCAAAGGGCAAAGTCCTCAATACAACGTAGACCTGTGAGGCCTGGCTTAGCTAGGGCCAGAAATCCTGCAGCAGTTAGTGCCTGAGTGTAAAGCAAGCCCAAAGCGATGACTTGACGCGTGAGGAAAAACGCGCTCTATGCAGCCTCAATACAACCTATAGAGGGGGAAAAAAAAAAAAAGGGGGGAGACAGGGCCATTTACAACACATAAAGAAAGCCTTACATTGCTATAGATGTATAAAAACATATATATGCACACATGTGCACACACTTGCACAGTTTTTTGCTGTTTTACTGCCTTTTTGTTCAAATGATTCAGCTATAAATCTGTGCTCACTGAATCACAACATGGAAGCTCCTAAAGGATTATTAAATCATTGAATCTTTTCTGAATCTGAACTACTGTTTTTCACCAGCTCTAAAATCTCTAATTAGCACTATACCCAATCTGGTACTTTGCCTTGGTAATCCACTCTTGATAAGAAAACATCAGTTGATGAAAATTAGAGAATCTACTCTTTTCCCAGTTAGTGCATTTAAGTAATTAAGTACCTCCCTGCTAAAAATATTCTGTATTTCTAACTTGTTTATATCTGGTCTGTATTCCCTGTTATGCCTTTCTCTGCTCGATTAAAGAACTCCTTGAAAAACAGTATTTTCTCCCCAGGAAAGCACTTACTCAGAGTAATCAAATCACCTCTC